TCACCTTTTCTCCTGGCTTTCAATATTCGTGAGGTCCTTTGTTAAGTATTCTTTCTCGCTCTGACAATATCCTTCATCGCAGGACAGAAAGCTTACCACTGGTTCATCGGGTTCGTAGGTCGGTAAGCCGATGATCCCAATTCACGAATTTCTTCTAACCAACTTTTTCATCGTAATGAAGAGCCGAGTCGAACCTAATTACTTATAGAGTCGTGGAAACCCAGATTTTCTTCCTACTATAGCTCATACTTTCCTTTTAAAATACCACATATAATGGGGAGCATTACGTTTAATAATGAATTCTTTTTTTGATCTCTCTTAACCTGGAGATGTGTTCCATCCACAAACCGTGATATTCGAGGATCGAACTAAGAATTTTCCCATGTAGTCTTGCTTTTGCTTTGGCCTTAACTATCCATTTTAGATTATGGCACTATTCAGAAGCTGACGAAAATGTCTTAAAACAATGACATGGTATGAGTTCCCAACTGGTCTCTCAGGGCAATGCGGAAGAATACAGCCTTTTAGACGCGAAACATTTCGATCCGAATAACATCTTCCATAATGAAGATGTTTAGTGTTAACTGCCCTCTTAACCATCACAACAACTTTCAACTGTATTTTGAAGGACAAATAATTGTCCTACGGGCGGATATTTCAAAGAATGGCATAAAAGCCTAAACATCTGATTTTGTGTCAGGTCCGTCTCTGCCCGCCAAAAAATTCACTCTTTTTATAAACATTCCGAGCTGTGGATAGAGTAAATCAGCACATGATGACTTCACAGTTGTGATCTGAGCAATTTGTTTTCAAACCTCTGTTCTTTAGAACATTCTAGATGCTTTTTGAAATAGTGCGTCTAAAAGAAGCGAATTATAACAAAGACTAGCCAACCTGGATGAAATTCATGGACTCTTTAACTGCATAGTCGGGCTCCTGGCAGGTGTCGTAGACTAAAGCGCCAAGACTGAACGGCAAGAAGTCCTTCCGGCTGTTCACTTCATCTAGAGCGAACCACATCGAGGTCACCAGCTGGTAGATGGAGACATTTGCATTAGAAAGAGAGGTAATGAAGGAGAAGATTGAGGCATAGGCTCAGACAAAGAGGATCTTGTCTTCGGTTTTGCCACGCTTCAAGTTGGTTGAATGGAGAGGATTCGGCCATGTCATGTTTTTTTAAAGACTTCGAAAAATGTAATCCTTAATCTATTCTCTTTCAGCCATATCACATGTTCTTCTGCCCTCGGACGGGCTCAATTTCGATATCGATTGTGCCACAAGCGAAACTTATGGGAAGGTACCTACTCAACCGTCCGAACTTGGAGGAAGAGATGACAACAAGATTATGTTACCGAAATCCTTCTGAATGCCCGATAAAATTGTAACGACGAGGTAGAAACAATTCGCTAGATCTAGAATGCCTGAACCCTAGTGTTTGCATGGTTTACATAATATTGGTTGCATTCCCTTCTGCGCTGATGATGCTATTTTTATAGCGAAAAATCGCGCGTTGATGTGTGCATATGTATGTATGTATGCCTGTATGTATGTACGTATGCAGGATGTATGTATGCATGTATGCAGATATGTATGTACCTATAGATGTATCTATGTCTGCATGCATGTATATATGTATGCATGCATCTATGTGTGTATATATGCATGTATGTATGTGTATGTGTTTGTATGCATGTATATGCGTATTTATGTTGTGACAACTTTTTGGGACCCTTTAAAAGCCCAGTCTTGGATATCCCAACTGTGTACTTGAAACAGGACATTCTGTGGACACTATATGCAGACTTATTGAGTCTGAGATTTATTATCTCTTCACTTCCTCAATGGGCAGTTATTAGGATCTTTCCAACCTATTTCAGATTTATTTTACAAGCCGGGATCAGAGTCAATGAGCCTAAAGTGGATTGTATCATGAGGTCATCGCCGAGAGAATCAATCATATAACAAGGCCTATAGATGGAATCCTTATCAGGTGGTAGAAAGATTGCGAGTTGACAGAAATGCCTAATTTGGCCCTTATTTCTAAGGGTCAACCGAGGGCAATGCTGTCTTTCATCAACCATGAGGACGTGTGGCACAAATGGGTCTACCACGAAGTCGCTTACGTTCTAACCCAACTTGATGCTAGCTTTTCGGTGTCTCTTAGATCGTTTAAAACTGACTGATGAAAACTTTCACCCGAAGATGATGACGGATCCCTATTACTCTGTAGTCGATTGATATTACTATGCATGTCAGGTTGAAACTGCCCATAAGATATCGTCCTTTGGATCTATTGAGCGCTTCAGAATATAAATATCTAGAGTTAAATTAAATTGAACCAGCCAATTTAATCATATATATATATATATATATAGCGTGTAATGTGAAATTTGTGCAAGAATGAGTTTTTCTCTATCGATGCCTATCGAGTGGAATAACAAATAAAAACTTAAAGCGTTTTCACCAGAATCAAAGAAAGCCGTCTCGTGGACTGAGTAAATTTGAGTCTCATAGTAGCATAAATGCAAAATAACGGGATGCTGGAGAGATTGACCTTTGAATCTGTTTTTCAGGTCCGCTTGCACTAAACGAAATTAACTACAACAATTTTGTCTTATGAGCTCTATCGTTACATTTCGTTTATACATACGCCATTGTAGAAACCCATTACGTGACTTTTCTGACGCATAGGTGTGGGAGAATTGCTCTTTTAAAGTCAATATAGTAGCCTCAATACCTGAATTTTGGGGCAATAAGATGCAAGATAAGAAAATATGGTAAAGTAGAAAGCAAGCACAGAGTACAAATATACAGGAGGGCAGTGTCAGAAGACTTGTGCAACCAGATTTTGATAAGGAAATTTGTGGTATACCTTGTTCCATTCTATGTTAAAAATTCCTTTGCTGTGGGTGGCTAGAAGTGGCAAATAATAGAGCCAATACAAACAGGTATTGGTTAAGAGTAATAATGAATGCATTAGAAATAGATAGCACTATAGTATAAATATTAATAATGTGGACAATATTTAAAAATACTTTAGTACAGATAATATGATTTTTAAAATTGGCGACATTAGCAGAGGTGTCAATAATAATAAATGTCGTAATATTCACTGACAATTTATAAAGATATTTTTGGCAAATAATGGCGAAATAAATACGAAATAGATAAGGATCTTATTTTACTCACAATCATAACGTTGGCAGTTAATGTAAATATGCCAGCCCATTTGCAATAAAGTCACAAATATTCTACTGGGTGAAAGACAAATTCTTATAATTGTGTGTACATATCTTGTCAATAAATTACCTGGACTACTGCATTGAGCCATGTTTTTTGAGGCGTGTAAAAGTGACAGTATTCCACACGAAGTCGAATCCTGCTGATGCTGGGATATTATAATTCTTCATGAAGAATGTGAGGACGAGCCCTTGCCTCGTCTAGCAGATGCGAACGCTGGGCTTCAAACCCAACTTTTGAACATGTTATGTCGCAAAATTTGTGTTTTCATCTCGGTTACTTACATTTTTCACCAATCTTTCTCCTCTTCATAAAAGGAGCTGAAAGCATAATTTTCAATGCTCAAATACAAGGACGATCATCTCATGTTATCTCACTCCAGCTCAAAGAATACGTTTATCTTAAGACTGTGCCGTTCGACCGCCCCCATTTCATCGATGCTCTGACGACAAGGCGGTAAAATAAGGTCATAGGTATGAAGACCAAGATTGTGTGGCTTTTTGTGTGGTCGCAGTCTCCTTTCGTTGTATAGAGGTTGTTTGACCTTGTTTTCGCAACAT